CCAACTAACCAACCCCATCCACACCACCTCCCTCCACCCTACCCTTTACGCTTGCACAGAAAAGGTGAAGTGGGCTCTCATTTTGTTATTCTAGGGTGGCTATGACTGATTTTAGTTTAGTTCTTCCTTGGCACGTTTTCCAGTCTCGTTATCTCAACCGCCGCCGTAGTCTCAACCGTTGTCATTGTCTCAACCGTCGCCGTTGTTTAACTGTCGCGATAGTCTCAACCGTCCCAGTAGCTCGTTATTTTCTGCAATTGCCACGAGTGCGCCTAATTGGCTGTGTGTCTCTCCCCTCGTGCACTCCGTTTACTTCGTGTAGGTGTGTGCTCTGTGGTACTTGCGCTTTCCTCGTTTAAATTCCTCTTGATCAACATGTGCAGGTCGAAGCCCAGGTCGCGCTGTTTTCTGATTAAGGTCACATTAGATCCTTCTCTGTTATCTAACAAATGTTGTTGGCTGTGTCTCTACGGTCATGCAGTCCGTTTACTTAGTGAAGCCTTGTGCTCCGTGGTGCATATCTCTCTCCTCGTTTTAAGTCTTTGTTATCCCCGTGTGCAGGTCGCGCGGTTTCCTTCAAAGAAGCGCTAGTTCCTACTCTTGCGCTGAATGGAACTGCTAGCGAATGAAACGCTTTCGTTTTTGTTGGTTTGTTTTGCTGGCAGGCAGTTTCCTATTAATCTCCGGTTTCTTTTTTCTGGTAAACATTCAATTTACATGTCACTGGTTTAAATATCATGGCTAACTCTTATGGTGAACTGTAGGGGTTGCTTGGTGATCTGCAGAAGGTGCTGTCTTCGGCCAAGACCATGCCCAAATCATGTAGATCACCCCCGGCTGTAGGCGAGAGTAGTTCTATCTATTTTTAGCTGCCATTGTGTTATGGTTATATTTTACATAATGTTGGCATTTCTAGTAATGGAAAATCTGAACTCAATCAGACAAGAATCATGAATTGTAGAAATTAATAACGTTTGTGGAATGTCCAATTATAAGCAGTATGAATTCAATATACAAACTCACTAAAGAGTAAAATGCAATGAGATCTAATCTCCAAAATCACTTCGGAAAGACTCTTACTAAACTTCAGATGAAGGTATTCAAGATGCAGCTTTGAATAGAGAAGCATTGCAGAAGCATTTGAAAAGCATTCGACAAAGCATTTGGAAAGCGCACTATACTTTCTCAAAAAAGCGTTCGAAACACTAAGTTTATAAATCATTCGACAAAGCTCCAAAGCAACTCTTTTCAATGGCTTTCTGGACGCAGGATTTTTGTGATGCAGAGGCTTCTAAAGCGTTACATCGACCAGCAGTTCATCTTAAAGCTGCTGAACCTGTTCGACTCGGAGGACCCTCGCGAGCGGGACTGTTTGAAGAGAATTTTACACCGGATTTACTTCAAAATCATGGGTCACCGGCCGTTCATCCGCAAGGCGATTAACAACAATTTCGACCAGTTTATCGAGTCGGAGCGTCATAATGGCATTGCGGAGTTGCTGGAGTTCATAGGAAGCTTTGTCAACGGGTTCGTGCTGCCTCTTGAACAGGAGCATACGCAGTCCCCAGAGCGAGTACTGGTTCCGCTGCACAAGCCTAAGTGCGTATCGATGTATCACGAGCAGCTGTCGCATTGCATCACTCAGTTTGTGGAAAAAGACCCGAAGCTCGCGGATTTGGTGCTGCTCGGGTTGCTTAAGTTATGGCCCTTAACTAACAGCCAGAATGAGCTACTTTTCCTAGGGGAGTTGGAGAAGATTCTGGAGCTCACGCAGGCGCCGGAGTTTGAGACAGTGATGACGCCGCTGTTCCAGCAGATCGCGCGCTGCCTCAGCTCCCCGCACTTCCAGGTACGTGGTACGGGGGTTGTCCGGGTGTGATGCGGTTCGTGGGGATGTGATGGTGGTCGGGTTTGGGAGGGTGTGCGAGGGAGGTGTGAGGAGGTGTGAGGAGATATGAGTGGGTGCCATGGCATGCATTTTCATACACCGCTGGTCATGATGATGGTCATGATGGTCATGATGGTCATAATGGTCATGATGCACCTGTTCCAGCAGATTGCACGCTGTCACAGCTCCTCGCACGAAGCTCCCGCCCAATTACACGTACGGTGTGATGCGGTGTAATACCGTCATACCCCGGATAGTAGCGCAGATGCGCTTATAATAAAATCTTGATTTTATTTGGGTGCGCTTATAATCGAGTAACGGCCATAAGCGCCGGCGCCTTTATAATGGCAAAAATGAAATTTGTTTGTAAGGGTACCAAAATGAAGCTTGCAATAAGGCGAACACAACGATGTGCCGTTCACGTGGGGTCATGCATGGAATCCTCGCGCTATTCGCCGCGATTCGATTCCCCACCGCACACTTCACGTCCCAGTGCAGCGCACCTGCCAGCGCTGACACAAAAGCTGTCGTGCGGCCCAATCGGGTTGTCATGCGCGGCCAGGCAGGACAACTCATCCGAACCCTCTCGAAGGGTGTGGAATATGCCCTGCCAGCACAGCACGTCTGGTGCCATGAACCCTCCTCTGCGGGTTCAGGCAGGGTGATTTTCGTCTTTCATTGATGAGGACCCCGAGGCGCTTTCCTGAAGGGGTCCTCTTCAATCGTTCATTTCTTCATTCATGCTTTGCGTTTCCCATTCACTTTCTTGTTCACGCCCGCCTGGCTGCGGAAGCCATGGCGGAATTCACAGGCACTCATTTCCTTTTCAAGAAAAAACCTAGGCCCGCTTACACAGTTGACGCTGACGGATGGTACACACGTATCCCACCAGAACCACCATCGCCACCACAGCCTCCTGCTCCTCCTGCGCCACCTGCTCCTCCTGCGCCTCCCGCTCCTCCCGCTCCTCCCGCTCCTCCTGCTCCTCCGTATCAGGCGTTCCCACAACCGCCTGGGAATCATCCCGTGCTTACGCTCTTGCTCCCGTCCGCCTTCGACGAGTACCTGTCTGAACCGGACAATAACAAGGGTCCAGACGTGTATGTACGGGCTCCGGCACCTGCACCAAGATGGGGCGCGCCCGAAGAATGCACGTGGGACGAATCTGCCGTCGGCGCCGACGACGATGTGGCTGACGCCGCGGAAGAAGGTCGTGCCGAGGGCGACAACGGTGCCGAGGATGGCACGGAGGCCGAAACCGAGGCTGGCACCGCGGCCGATGTGTTTCCCGAGGGTGAACCAGGCGCCGCCGACGACGACGGCGTCGAATACTGGTCTCGCGATGGGCTCCCTGAGAAACTCCCGATTCCGACTTTCCCTCCTGTTAACCGCAAGCGACCTCACCCTTCTGCTGAGAATCGTGATGCCCGCCCCCCCTCTCCCAGGAACAAAGTCAACCAGCATAAGCGTCAAGCTTATACTGCGCAAGAAAAACTGCAGTGGGTCGCGCGGCTGGATGTGGGGGTGTCGGTGCGCTCCTTGTCTCGAGAAAGCGGCATCCACCGGAAGTGTCTCACGGAGTGGAAGCGCGCCGCCGATTTCCTCAAGGAGGTGCACGCCGCACGGAAGCGCATGCACGGCCGCGGGAGGTCTTCATGGTACCGCCCGATGGAGCTGAAGGTGTACGAAAAGCTACTGGAGTGGCGCCGCAAGGGAACAGCAGTCTCCGTCGGCCGTCTGCAGGAGTGGTCGCACGAGTTCATGAAGCTGCTCTACCCGCTTGTGAAGTGGAAGGGCAGCCAGCGGTGGTCGGAACGGTTTCGGAAGCGGTGGAATCTGAGCGTCCGCATGAAGACGCGCGTCGCCCAGAAAACTGCAGCCCGTAAGTCTTAACCGTGTATCAAGCCTGTGGGTCGTTCCAGTTCATGTATACTGACGCATCTTCTTTATTTGCCTCGTAGGCCTCGATTCGGCAGGCAGGCGAGGAGCGCGATGGTGGTCCTCGACTCCTACCGCGGTCACCTCACCCAAGGGGTCAAGGACAAGTTCGCCGAGCTCAACATCGTGCCGGCGGTGATCCCGGCAGGCTGTACGGCGGAGATTCAGCCGCTGGACGTCTCTATCAACAAGTCGTTCAAGGCCTCCGTCCGCCAGCAGTACCAGAAGTGGTTTGAAGACGAAGGCCAAGAGCGACTGACAGCAGCAGGTAAGCTTACATAGAAGAACTACAGTCGTTCCTTGACATGCTCTCGTGAACCGTTTATTAAAACTGATGAGAGTGATGTGTCTCTGCCTGTTGGTGCAGGGAACCTCAAGAAGCCGCCTCCTGCGGTGGTAGTGAAGTGGATCTCGCGGGCATGGAAGGCAGTGCCCGCGGACCTCATCAAGCGCGCCTTCCTCACCTGTGGCATCAGCAACGCTCTTGACGGCAGCGAGGACTCGCTTGCCATGGCGCACAGGCGAAGCCAGCTGACTCGTGAAGTCGATGTCGATGACGACATCATCGCTGACGGCTTCTTTGGCAACAACTGCCAGGAGCCCGAGTCTGACGAGGAGGAGTAGGTAGCTAGGCTGTAGTACCTGAGTAGCTGGTTCAACCTGAGTAGGCTGTTGTGTATGAACCTTGAAATTGATAGGGTGAAACAACTCTTGTTAGGAATTGTTTAAAAAATGTAATGTTCTGTGAAATTAGAATGATAAGTAGATATCAGACTTTGCACATGCGCTTATAATAAGTTCAGACCTGAAAAGGGGTGCGCTTCTAATCGAGGATCCTCTATAAGCGCCATGCTCCAGATAGAAGCGCCGGCGCCTTTAATCGGACGGCGCTTATATCCGAGGCCATACGGTATGGTGCAGTGGGGTGCGATGCATCCTTGCTGAAGAGTGGTCGAGGCACTGGTGTTCCGGCACAGGATACGGGTTGTGACAGGGATAAAAGGGGCGTGATACGGTGATGGGGTGTGAGGAGGTGTGACGGGGTGTGATGGGGTGGGGCACAGCACATTGCGCAAGCTTCCAAGTTCCAGATGAGCTTCATGCCGCTCATCCGGCATGCGATACCTACAACGCTCTTGCCATTATGTTCCTGAGATTCACGAGATTCTGTTATTCAGCTCTGATTCTTCAATACGCTAGTATTGTATGCCATTCCAAGTTTTGAAGGGGGGTGGGAGGGGGGGAGAGAGGTAGGGGGGGTAAGCATTCTCAGAAAAAAAACGGATTGCAGCCAGAGCTGGGATAAAGAGAGTGAGGGTTGTTGTTGTTGTTGTTGTTGTTGTTGTTGTTGTTGTTGTTGTTGTTGTTGTTGTTGTTGTTGTTGTTGTTGTTGTTGTTGTTGTTGTTGTTGTTGTTGTTGTTGTTGTTGTTGTTGTTGTTGTTGTAGTTGTTGTTGTTGTTTTTTTTTTTTTCTCTCTCTCTCTCTCTCTCTCTCTCTCTCTCTCTCTCCTATCTTTTATGGGTGCGGCATTAGGGTTTGGCCGATGCGATAGTTGTTGTCAGTCTGACATGTCATGTGATGCCACCTGTGGACCCTACCTTTGGCTTACTTATGTCACATTTCACATTCCATGCCCCATATATGTACCCGTCACCCCTCCACCTCCCCTCCTCCGCCCCATTACCCTTTCCCCAATGCCGGTGTTGTGGAAATAGTTGTGCCTGTGTAGCAACGGCTGCATCATGGCGTTTGTGGTGCAGAACTGTTGTGTCTCTCTTTCCATCCTCCCCCCACTCCTCCCCCTCCACCCCCCAAACCCCATTTCCCTCTTGCCTTCAGGTGGCAGAGCGCACACTGCGCCTGTGGGACAACGACTACATCGTGGCGCTCGTGGCTCAGAACCACACCACCATCCTGCCGCTCATCTTTGCTGCTCTCGAGCGCAACGCTGAAAGCCACCACAACCAGGTATAGTGTGGGCATTGAGCCCTGTGTAGTGCGTGGATTGCTTCTATAGTGTGGCTGTGGCTAGACATGAGACGAAATCCGGTTCGGTTCGCTTATAGGTGAACCGAACCGTGATTTTGGGGCCGCGGTTCGTGAACGGGCCGAACCAATTCGTAACGAACCGGTTCGCCGGATTGTTATAGTACGCGACCATCCCGAGTCGCGCCGAACCAAACCGGTTCGTCATGGTAGGGGATCATAAACAACCCCCCCCCCCCCCGGTTCGTTTTAGGGCCCCGCATGACTTGAGTCGCACGGGGTCGTTTTCCCAGCTTGAAGTCTTGAGCTCCAACTCTTCCTAGTCTAAATTGCCACCCCTCGCTTAATTTCCCAGCATTCCCACGGCTATTTTCTAAGCAGCAAGTAGCAGGTGTTTAAATTACGTTATTTAGTGAGAATTACTCTGAATATGGTCGCTTTTCTTTGTACGTCTAGTATTTAGAGTGATGTCTCACCTTAAGTCCATGGTTGATAGGATTAAGGTTGATTTCACAAACATGACCGGAAATTGGTTTGTTTTGTAAACCTCGTCCACGTTCCGTTATCCCCATATACAGGGCAACATTCAAGTCAACGTACACACGTGAATTAGATTTGGGCGTTCAGTTCAGAGTGATTATTGAGGAGGTTTCTTGCTGGAATGGAGGCCGCCGGTGATGCTCGGGGTGGGAATAGGAGTTACGAACAAATCAGCCATTAACGTGTAGCGAACCGAACCGGTTCGATTCGGTACCAAATTGGGCCGGTTCGTTATATGAAACAACGAACCACGAACCAAGGTGCCAGAATCCGGTTCGTAATCGGAAAGGTTCGGTTCGGTTTCGAACCGGCCCGGTTTGCTAATGCATATTACCGAACCGAACCAGTTCAGTACTGTGCTCTTCTTTGGCTGTGGCGGTAGCACTGACTGCCTATGGCCATAGCAGGGACTGAAGCCATTGGAACCAGGTAGATTGTGGCCAGTGGTTGTAGTGCTGATTTTTTCTGAATCGAAACGAGTGGTGGTCTGAGAGGGAAATTGCAGGTGCAGTGTGTATAGGCTGTTTGCACAGGCTGTCTGTAGCACACGCTGTAACCACTGGAATCATGTCGCATTGATCCCGCCAGCTTTCCTCTGAAACAGCCAACGGCGCAAGTGATTCACGGCACAATGTTTCTTGCAGATGCAGGTATGGGATGAGTTGGGCCATGGCTAATGCACAGAATGAAGCCATTGGAACCAGACAGGGCGGCAGTTGCTGTAGGCATGAGCAGAGGAGTCAAGTGTTGATACCACACTGACTCTCCTACTCGATTCGACTTGACATGTTGGGGTTTATGCATTGCTGTATCGTCAGTCGAGGGCAAGTCAGTGAGTTGCTTGACTTTTTTTGAGCTGTGATGACTTGGGCTGACAAGCAAATCTGGCCCCAATAGCTCGATTAGTTTCCTGCGTTTAATTCCCAGGGGGAATCTTTCCCATGTTGTCCTCAATAATACGCCCAACCATAACCCGTTCTTTGCCACTAACCTAACACCTCATATCGTGTGTGGGTGTTTTTGTTTTGTTTTTGTTTCCCAGCTGAGAAAGCCTCCACCTGGCCGGCTAGATTACGAGACCTAAACGTCATTGCCCACCTAAGGTTCCTTCATTTCCTCAACCTCCTTGTGCACTTTTAGCTTCATCCCCTGAGGTTACTGGGGCTTCCTTGGCCTGTGCCTGCGACGTTCTTCATTACTTCATCATCTTGCCACCACTGTGGCTGTTAACGTGTAAGGTCATTTTGACCTTGTGCATGCGTGTCCTTGTCAACTTAAACCCCTCCCATAGCACCTCCGTTTGCTTCTCCTACATATCCCTACTTCTTCTCCCTCTTCTCTCCCGAATCCCCGCCTCTTCTCCGTCCGTCCTCTCCCGCTCTGCTCACCCTCCCCTCTCCTCCCCTCTCTATCCTCTCCTCCTCCTCCTCCTTTCACCCTCTTCTCTCTCCTCTCTCTCCTCTCCCCCTCCTCTCCTCCGCCACTCTCCTTCATCTTCCCCTCCCTCCCATCCCCGCGATGCGCATACTATGAATGGAGAGAGATGTTTCTGGACATGGACAAGTGGCCAGAGATGCTTATCATGAATGCCAACAACAAATCCTCCCCTGGCCATTGCATGAGTGCTGTGGTGCCTTTGACACGCCTAAAAAATCGATGCATGCATGATGCTCTCCCTCCTCTCCCCTCACCCACTCCCCCTCCTCCGCTCTCCTCCGCATTTCCACGTCTCTCCTCTCTCCAAGACTACTTTCCCCCCTCACTCTCCCCATTCCACCCACCCTCCGCACTCGTTTCTGCCCAGGTAGTGAAAGATCTGTCCATCAAAGTTCGTAAGATGTTTCTCGAAATGGGCGAGATGGACACGATGGCCGCTATGGCCGTGATGGCCGAGGAGGACGCGATGGCCGAGGAGGATGAGAAGGGCGAGGAGGGCGAGGAGGTCGAGAAGGGCGAGGAGCTCTACGTCGATAATCAGCGCCAGTTCCTAAAAGAAGAGGGTGCGAGAATGAGATTTAATTAATCATTAAGCTCGAATGAGCTGAGGTATTCATAGGTAGTGAGAGAAGATGTGGGTTGGCGTGTTCAACAATAACAAGAGGCCCCAATAATGGTCGGTTAAGTTGGCCGACATTATTGCGGTTCCAATAGTCGTTCGCTGGGTGTTGACCAACATTGTTGGACGTCCAATAAGTGTTGGGAAACCCAACACAAGCGCAAATTGTGCTTGGAAGGTAAACCCAACAACCCATTTGCTACCGTACGTCACAACCTATCTAGCCAATGTATGTTGTATAACAAATGTTACTCCAGAGGGGCGGAAAGCTGACGTGGAGGAACTACGCGCTGCCACGTGGCAGCGGCTGGAAGAAGAAGCTGGCGATTAGAAATACTGCACAGTTACCAGGAAAGGCGGAGACCGTTGCTTGACCCAAGAAGGGTACGGGTTCGGTCTGCTAGTCCAACCCGACCGAGTTGTTGCTTGATCAAGGACGGGTACGGGTCCGGTCGGCTCGGGTCGGCTCGTCCGACCCGACCCGTTGCTTGACCCAAGACGAGTACGGGCCCGGTCTAATCGACCCGCCCTCGGGGAAGGACCTCCGGAAAAGCTGGCCCGACCTCGGGGTAGGTAGGACCCCCGGAAAGCTGACCCAACCTCGGGGTAGGACCCCCGGAAAAGCCGTGTCTTGAGGGGGGGTTGGGTCGACCCAGTGACAAATTGGGTCGATCAACCCGCCTTATTCAATCAATTGGTGGCCAATCTCTTCAGATCGTAGCATTTCAATAGCTGATTTGCGCAGATTATCAACATGATCCCAATGTGGCAACATGATCCCAATGTGGCAACATGATCCCATTGTGGCAACATGATCCCAATGTGGCAACATGATCCCAATGTGGCAACATGATCCCAATGTGGCAACATGATCCCAATGTGGCAACATGATCCCAATGTGGCAACATGATCCCAATGTGGCAACATGATCCCAATGTGGCAACAAAATTTCCCTGAAAAATGGTGGCTGGTGGTCCTTCCTGGCCCCTTCACTAACTAGAATAAGTGGGATGGGTATTTCCAAGCCCCTTACCTGCTGTATGTCTTTAGTCTCTCTCTTCCCCACTATTGTGTTCCTTTACAGAAGCTCGTTGTGAGGAGGAAGATTCAGCAGCAGCAGAAGGTACGGCAGCAGCTGCTTCAGCGGTTGCAGCAGCAGCAGCAGCAGCAGCAGCAGAAGCAGCAAAAGGTGCGGCAGTAGCTGATGCAGCGGCACCACCATCAGCAGCACCAACACCATCATCAGCAGCAGCAGAAGGTGCGGCAGCAGCAGCAGCAACACCACCATCAGCAGCAGCAGAAGGGCCAGCAGCAGCTGCTGCAGCAGCAGCAGGAAGGGGACAGCGTGCTGGTGTTGTGGTGCAGATGGGAGTGACACAGCCACAGGAGAGTAGGCAGAGGAGAACAGGATAGGAAATGGCGCCTTTGGAGTTGTCTACAAGGGAGTGTCTCCCCATGATCGCAATCAAGCTTGGGCAGTCAAACGAGCTCAAGTTCTCACAAATGACTTCCAGAGAGAGGTAAGTCGGCTTTGAGAATCCTAAAAAACGACCAGCACAATCGAATTCAAGAGTGAGGTATCACGTTGTGAGTTTCGGTTGGTTGGTACCACGTCCCTTGGTGGATCCTTCTGCCAAGTCCCATCACTTGTTCATTGGACTGTTCCTTCTCCTTTCATCTGTTCGCCATCATTTCCCCTCCATCAGGTGAAATGGATGGCAAGCAAGAACCATCCGCATCTCGTGCGTCTGTTGGGCTATTGCATCGACTTTGACCCGTCCACACGAACAATGGAGCAGCTTCTTGTCTATGAGCTCATGCCCAACCGTGACCTTGAGCGTTGGATCGGCCCCGGTGTCTCCAACCCTCTCTCGCTGCAACAAAGGCTAGAGGTTCTGATTGGAGCTGCAAAGGGATTGCAGTATCTTCACGACTTCAACGTTGTGCACCGAGACATCAAACCGGCCAATATTCTCCTCGATATAAGAATGCAGGCATGCTCAAAATATCAAAGCTGGGTTGCATGTGGAAGGAGATGCTTTGCTCATCCGTTTTGTTCATCCGTTTTGTTCATCTTTCTCAACCATCATGTGATGTTTTGAGCAGCCGAAGATAGAGTCGTGTCACCTAATCTCATGTTGCGTGATCATGCTGTTGTGGATGATGCTTGGCAGGCAAAGATTGCCAACTTTGGTCTTCTGAAGCTGTGTGGTTTCGAGGCGCCTCAAAGCTAGATTCATGTTGCATGATGGTGCTGTTGTCGTTGATGATTGGCAGGCAAAGGTTGCGGACTTTGGGCTTGTGAAGCTGCTTGGAGGGACATCTATGGCCACATCTGAGGCTGCCACTCGACTGGTGGGAACACTGGGCTATATGGACCCAGAATACTGCAGCTCTCACATACCTTCTCCTGCTGTCGATGTGTACAGGTGAGTACATTGGCAGAGCACAGGTAAACACACTGGTGCATGTCAGAAGATTGGTACAGATTAGCAGATTGGGTTGAAATAACCATCCAATAGGCATCTTATGTTTGTGAGAACTCTCTGGATTTTTTACCTTCACCGTGTTTTTTTGCC